ACCGAAAAAGACTCATCCCCACTGCCAAAAATTGATGATACTCTTGATGCCCTAAGTGGAGCCAGGTGGTTTTCAACTCTGGACTTAAAGTTGGGTTTTCATCAAGTGAAAATGGCTGAAGCAGATAAACTTAAGACTGCATTTGATTATGGTCAAGGTCTCTGGCAATATCGCGTGATGCCATTCGGGCTTAGCAATGCTCCAGCAACATTTGAGAGGCTGATGGAAAGGGTACTAGAAGGCCTACAATGGAGAATAGCCCTAGTGTACCTGGATGATGTCATTGTATTTGCAACAACTTTTGATGAGGAAATGTCCCAGCTAGAGGAAGTGTTCAAGCATTTGAAAGCATCAAACCTTAATCTCTCTCCCAAGAAATGCCACTTGTTCCATAAAGAGGTGCTTTACTTGGGTCACATCGTAAGTGAGCATTATGTGCAAACTGATCCTGACAAGGTGAAAGCAGTGCACGATTGGCCAACACCAGACAATGTGAGAGAGTTAAGAAGTTTCTTGGGACTCTGTACCTATTAAAGGAAGTTTGTGAAGGACTTTGCAACTATAGCTACTCCACTACATGATTTGCCAGCATTCTTTCAAGACATTGGCCTCAGCTCCACTTTTAAAGCTTATAAATCCCTCACTACCATATATACTAGATTGTGATGCTAGTAATGTCAGAAATGGAGAAGTGTTGTCTCAGAAAGTGGGCAAAAACAAAGATGTGGTGGCCTACTTCAGTAGGGTCCTGTGTAGACCAGAGAGGAACTACTGTGTAACACGGAGGGAACTCCTTGCTATAGTAAAGAGTCTGACATATTTCCATCCTTACCTCTATGGTGCCAGGTTTACCATCAGGACAGACCATGCTGCATTACGCTGGTTAAGGTAATTAAAGAACGCAGAGGGACAACTGGCACATTGGATCGGAAAGATAGACCAGTATAATTATGATATTAAATACAGATAAGGAAAATCTCATGGAAATGCTAGTGGACTGAGCCGAAGACCCTGCAAAAATGACTGCAGACATTGCTACAAAAGAAAGGTTGAACTAACCAGGTGCATTCAAGTTGAAATCAAGGTGACTGACAGAGTTGATGATGGTGAAGTTGAACCAGGTATAGATATTAAAACAGAGTAGGAGAAAGACCAAGATTTGAAGTCAATAATTGATTTTCTACAAGCAAGTGTTTTGCACCATGTT